GGGCTACATATTGTCTCAAAACAAAACATGTTTCTGAGGGGTTGGGGAAGCAGCTTAGGATAGAGCACTTGTCTAGCATGTGCAAGGCCCTGGGTTCAATCCCCCAACACCAAAAATCAGCACTTAAATCAAAACATTTCTGATATGAAAAAAAGGAAGAAATTCAGGTAGTTGAACAGGGGAGACATGAAATGTTTTCTCTTTAGAATTAGCATCTTCTCAGTGTGACTTTTGTCATTTCCTTAAAAAAAAAAAGCTATCCATGAAATATTAAAACAAGATATCATTACAGAAAACTAAAAGACAATGACTATTTACTTTGATACAACAGGTTTTTTTTTCCTTTTTGAGACCAGGTCTCTCTGTGTAGCCCTGTTAGCCTCAAACTTATCATCCTCCTATCTCTCCTGCTGAGTGCTGGGGTTGTAGGTGTGTAACCACCATACCTGGTGAGGACATTGATTTATTTTAATTTTTTTTGCTGTACTGGGGCTTGAACTCAGCTCTATACCTTGAGCCACACCACCAGCCCTTTTTTGTGATGGGTTTTTTTCAAGATAGGGTCTCTCAAACTATTTGCCCAGGCTGGCTTTGAACCACAAACCTCCTGAACTCTGCCTCACGAGTGGGTAGAATTACAGGTGTGAACCACCAGCACCCAGCTAAGGACATAGATGTTTTTAAACATGGAAAGATGTGTCAGACTAATTATAATGATACTTCTGGTATCATCACACCTGGGATTACAGGTATGAGCCACCCAAGCCTGGCTAGAAAAGTGGGTTTTTCTTGGCAGCACTGGGGTTTGAACTCAGGGCCTCACATTTTCTAGGCAGGTGCTCTTACTGCTTGAGCCACTCTACCAGCTCTGGAGAAATGCTTTCATAAACAGAATCGAAAATTGGCTTGAGAACTGCACATGGTGACACAGGCCTACAAGTCTGTAATCACAGACTCACAGGTGGAGGCAGGAAGACCTCAAGTTTGAGCTATGTGGTTAAGTCCCTGTCTTAAAAAGAAAAAGAGTAAGAAAAAAACCACATAAGATCCAGTATTACTGTTCAAAACTATTTAATACCTAAGAAGGTGAAAGGTCCATTTTTGAAAACAAAACTAATAAATATTAAAGCAAAATTCACTCTGTGTAAGCTTTAGGTGAAAATAAGAGGCTTGAAAAAGTTATCAAAAGAATCAGGAGAGGTGCAAAAACTGATTTAAGGCTTTTCAGTTTATCCCTTGTTTTTTTGCTATGGGATCACCAACATTATTAACTAATATGATACAAGGAGATGAGACGGAAAGGAAATAAATTCACCTGCCATTCTCTGTCCTCTCACCTCCCTCTTCCCTTGGAAACCTTGCTTTATCTTCATTCTTCCAAGAGGAAGTGGATATTGCTTCCAAAATTACATTTTAGTTTTAAAATTCAATTTGTCTTGTGAACCTCCCTTTCCTTTTGAACTTAAAGGAAAAAGATACACTGGACTGAATTTGCCTGGGGCTTCTAAATTTCAAAGCTCAGAAGTGAGAGGATAGGCCTTGCTCAGTTTACTTCAAGCATCTTGTTCTCCAGTAAAGGACAAGATTAATTCTGCTTTGAAATAATCTCACTATTCAGAAAACCTGGTGTCTACAGGGGAAAAAAAAAAAGGCCATGACTGCAAACTCCAAAGTAAAGGCAGACAACTGCCAGACAGAGGGGGGAGAACCCTAGGTAAATAGTGCTGCACCCAAGTGGGCTTTGCCCCAAGCGGAAGATAAAGAGAATTTGTTAAATAAAGAACTCAACTGGGGCCGACAAAAGCTTCTGGCACAGGAAGTTACTTGACTAAGGCCACCTAAATAAAGCATTTGAATAGGTTCCTTGGGGTGAAGCCTCTAGGTAAAAACTGCAGGCGGTGCTGCCTTTCAAACTATTCCCACCCTGGGTGGATGGTGGAAATGCTGTGACCCTAAAAATGTTGTCTACTGTTTTAAATGTTAAAACATTTGGGAGGGTTACAGTCATGGCTCAACTTGTAGAGCACACACAAGTAAATTCCAGTACTGTCAAATAAAAAAACCAAAAACCTTGGAAATTACTTGAATGTAATGATATCATCACTCTACATGCAGTAACTAACGAGAAAGTTTTCAAGCAAATTCCAGTACTGCCAAAAAAAACCCAAAAAAGAAAAACCTTGGGAAATTACTTGAATGTAATGGTACCATCATTCCACATGCAGTAACTAAGAGAAAGTTTTCAAAAACCATAGCTCACACATCAAGCTGTCTTTACACGGGCTTGAGGGCTGGGATGTAGCTTAGTGGTAGAGCGCTTGCCTAGAATGCATGAAGCCCTGGGTTCGATCCCAACACCAAAAAGGAAAAAAGGAAAGACTCAGGGTTGAGGGGGTAACTAAGTGGTAGAGTACTTCCTTACCCACCATGCACAAGGTTCTGATTGGATCCTCAGAAACACACACACACTCACGATAGAAGCTTAACACACTTCCAGATAGAATGGAAGTATGACAATGTTGATATGACCCATCTCTTTGATGTACCAACCATCTCCATTGATGGTGTGGTAATGGTCACAAGAACCCAACTGCTGGGCTCTACAGAAGGAATGCCCTAAACCATTATGCAAATGTGCCCTGTGACCTGGGGCAGTACAATACTTCTGGCCACTAAGAGGAACCCACCTGAGGTACCTGGACTGCAGGGATACATGTGTGTCAGGGGATGCGTAAACTACGGATGCTGTGCCTCTGCTGTGTTTAGTACTAGACTGAGGATTAGGTGCCTCCTCACCCATCCTCCCTGTGTTCTACTTACCTAAATTTACTAGATTTACCAGTACCTTATCCAATTGCCTCATGAGCTACAGGAATTTCGCTTTCTCTCCTGCAGCCAAAGTGGACACTCTTAAGACAATACATAGCACAAGTGTGCATTACACCAGATTAGCACTTTTCTGTGCTAATTCTAAAGCATTCCCAGTTTTTAACCTCTTTAAATTCCTTTTTTGGCGATACTGTGGTTTGAGTTTGGGGTTTTGCGATTGCTAGGCAGGTCTTCTACCACTTGAGCTATGCCACTAGCCACTAGCCAAACCTCCCATAAATTCTAAATCTCCAGCCTTCTCATTAAGCCTGCAGTCATACTTCACATCCTCCAAGGGGCTCTACCACATTGGAGGAAGGAGCACTTCAGGAAGCTGAAGCTCTGGGTTTAATCCCCAAGCTGGGTGAGACTTTGCAGGTTCATTCCATAGAAGCATTACACACTCTGAAAATGTATTCCCTGGTCAATTCCTGTTTCATTAATTGAATAAAAAGTTCCTCTTATCTACAAGAATAACCTTTTGGACTGGACATATTGACTCAAGTGGTAGAGCACCTGCCTCACAAGTGCAAAGAGGTGAGTTCAAACTCCCCTCACTCCAAAACCTTTTATGAAGGAAGCCCTCGTTTTAAGCATCTGCCACACCAACCTTTATCAGGATGAGAAATAAACACTGTTTCCAAGGATAAGAACCCTACCGTCTTATAGCTGAAGCTGAATTTAATGGAAAGCAAAGACAAGCAGCAGTCAGCAGGTAAGGAGCATGGCAAGGTTTTGATATTTCCACACTGATTTAACATTCAGTTGTTTCCTCAAATTTATGGGTACTTTGTTATATACAGTTAGGTAAAGACATAAAGACAAGATTTTTTTTTTTTTGCAATACTGGAGAAAATACTGGAAAAAAATAAGCCAGGAGTATAGATCAGGCCTGGCATGTCAGAGGTCCTGGGTTGCAGTCCCATCAAAACATGCGCCGCGCAGCCCACCCCCTGCCCCGCACTGGGCAGAAAGCTCTAATTTTCTCTTGTAATTTGTCCTTCATTCACATGTAAAAGAAAAAGGCATGTGGCAAACAAGATTGTGATCCTGTGCTTAAAGTTACATTTCAATCTGCTGGAATTCTAAGACTGTAAAAATTGGTGACTTAGGCTGGGGAGGTAGCTCAGTGGTAGAACACTTGTCTAGCATGCTCTGAATTCTGTCCCTAGTATAGGACACACACACACACACACAAATCATACACATACAGCAGGGCACTGGTGACTCACACCTGTAATCCTAGCTTTGTGGGAGGTTGAGATTAGGAGGATTGAGGTTTGAGGCAGCCTGGGCAAGCAGGCTGACCCCATCTCCAAAATAGCCAGAGCAAAATGGACAGGAGGTGTGGTTCAAGCTGCAAAGCACCTGCTTTGCAAGTACAAAATCCTGAGTTCCAACCCCAGTCCCACCAAAAGAAAAAAAAATTATACATAAATATACAGAGAGGGAGAAAAAGTGAGCACGATATTTGGCCAAATCTTTACTCACTGAGCACTAGATGAAAGTGCAGAGACCACTAAATGTAAAACCAGTATTTTATTTGATTGTCAAACTGATATTTATCATGATGCAGTCAAGGATGTAACATCTTTCTACAAATATTAATGAACAAAATAGTGGTTGTATTGAAAGACAGAGCCCAAGGGGTAGAGAAGATCAGCTGGTCACATTGTAGCTCAACCCTTCACCTCCACAGTTGACCTTTTAATAGATAAAGTGCCCCATCCTCCAACAATGGGAACAGTCCTTCATACATCTTTGCACTTTCTTACTTCCTACACTTGAGAAGTCAGATTCTACATCCTAAAACTACCCAAACTTGCCATGCACCAGTGGCTCAGGCCTGCAATCTTAGCCACTCAGGAGGCAGTGATCAGGAGGTTTAAAGCCAGCCCAGGCAAATATTTCTCAAGATCCTATCAAAAATACCCATCCCAGGACTGAAGATGTAACTCAGTGGTCAAGTGTTTGCCTAGCATGCAAGAGGCCCTGGGTTGATTCCCAGTACCATAAAGAAAAAAAAAAAAAAACACAAAAAAGGACTGGCAGATGGGTCAAGCAGTAGAGCACCTGTCTTAGAAGTGTGAGGTCCTGAATTCAAATACCAGTATCACACACACACACACACACACACACACAACACACACACACACACACAAAACCCCAAACCTGTATTACAACTACTTATCAGTAACCAGAGACATCTTGTCTGTAGCAGGTTAAGGTTATTGATTAGACTCCGATTATCCCCCACCCCAGCTCTAAAACAAAAATCCTAGAGGAAGAAAGGAATCCAGCCACAGCGCTGACTGAATCTGAATAACTCAGTCATCACATGTCATCAGGCTGCATATTCACAGAGTAATTGAGGAATAAATCCAAGGCTTGTGAGGTACCAAAATACTTAAGGCTTTCCCCAGCCGTTTCCAAGGTGGTCTCCAAATCACTGACAGGGTAATTTTGCTGGAACTGCACGTAGGGCTGCCCGTCTCCTCCCCATAGTTGTAGAATGAACTGTTCCAGGCCTGGCTGTTCCAGGCTTGGCTGTACCAGGTCTGAGTGCTCCAGGAATGGCTGCTCCAGGCCTGGTCGCTCCAAGCTGGGTTCCAGCCCTGGTTGTTCCGCACGGGAGGGTCTGAAGATGTGCTCCCCATGCACCCCTGGCTACAGTTCAAATGGAGGCCTGGATAGTCTGGAGGAACAGAACCCTTCTGAAAGAGAACAATGGCACAGGGAAACTCAGAACTGTGTCTGCAGTCGTACGCATCAGAAAATCAGAGAGAGGGAAGGAGAGAGAACTGAAGAGTGAAAGCTTCCTGTTACCTGAGTCACACCATTGCCATTCTTTGGCCACTTGCTTTTCTGCCATCTCTTAGATTTCATTGTCTGGTTTTGGAACCAAGTCTTAACCTGTAAGCAAAAGGTGACAGCAATTATAAAACACAAGTAACACAGATGTGCTTTGAATCAAAGGATATTGTAACTCTTCTTCCTGCCAGCTACAACTTCTAAAGGTGAGGAACAAAAATCTGAGGGTTTTTTTTTGTGTGTGTGTGGTACTCAAGTTTGAACTCAGGGCTTTGCTCTTGCAAGGCAGGTGCTCTACCACTTGAGGCACACCTCTAGTCCATTTTGCTCTAGTTATCTTGGAGATGGGGTCTTGAGAACTATATGCCCAGGCAGGACCCAAACTGCCATTCCCTAAACTCAGCCTCCCATGTAGCTTGGATTATAGGCATGAGCCAGCACCTGGCTAAAACTCTGAACTTCTTAACAGTCGTCCCTTAAATCTTGAACCAATGTCCCATGACTGAATGCTCAATTGCCTGGTTTTTGTTTAATAAACCTGGTTATTGACATTTAAGGCCCATTACACTTAATGTCTGACCTCCCTTCTCACCAGTTTTACTGAGGTCATTCATTAAAGAAACCTGTCTGTAGTAGCTCCCCCCCACTCCCACAAGCACATTTATATTTACCACCAGAGATAGAAAAACAAACTATTTGATTGAGTAAATGTCTTTTGCACCTTAATAATACTTCATAAAATTTAATGAGAGCCGGTACTGGTGGCTCACACCTGTGATCCTAGCTACTTGCAAGGCTGAGATCAGGGGGAATCCATGGTTTGAGGTCAGAGGTCAGCCCTGGCAAATAGTTCTGGAAACCCATCTCCAAATAACCCAAGCAAAACTGACTGGAGATGTGGCTCAAGCAGGAGAAGCTTTGCAAGCGTGAAGCCCCAAGTTCAAATCCCAGACACACACACCCCCACAGGATAAGTCAATTGACAAAAAAAATCCATGGCTGCTGGGTAACAGTGGCTCACACCTGTAATCCTAGCTCCTCAGGAGGCAGATCAAGAGGATCATGGTTCAAAACCAGACTAGGCAAATAATTCTCGGGACCAACCGAATCTCAAAAAACCCTGTAACAAAAAGGGGCTGGTGAAGTGGTCCAAGGTGTAGACCCTAAGCAATGAGTTCAAGCCCCAGTACCGCAAAAATAAATAAATAAAAACCATGGCTAGCAAGTATACAAAAATGGACTGACCTATTAGTTAGTGGATGCACACAGATGCAACCTAAAAACGTGCAGCTATTATTTTAATGAGAACAAATGTTGATTAGGGGTTCTCCTATAATCAGGAAGGTGGAGTTACATACATCCTAGCACTCAGGAGGTTGGGGCGGGAAATCAAATGAGGCAAACCTAAGCCTAATTAATAGTGAGACTGTCTAAAGAAAAAGAAGGAAGGAAGAAAGGAAGGAAGCTCTGTGTTCAATTGCCAACCCCACACAAAAAAGAAATTAGTTATGAAAAGATCCCATTTCCATCTTAAAATTATTTACAGAAGGGTGCACAGACACCAATACCCATAGAAGTACATCCTCATCAGCCTTGTTTTGTTTTTACATTCCTGCAACAACAAACAACCCTACCTGTTTGTAGGTAAGATTCAGAATGCCAGAAAGTTCATGCATCTGCTGGAGGCTGAGGTACTTCTGCTTCTGAAACCTGTCATTGAGCACACACAGCTGAGTCTGGGAGAACACAGTCCGCATCTTCTGCTTTTTGACCTGGGCTTTAGTATCTTCCTTCTTCACTGTGCTCTCTCCAGAACCCGAATCTGGTGGTTTGGCCTTGGGACTGGTAGAAGAATCAGGACTGTCCTGAGTAAGCAGGTCCATGGCATAAGGAAGAGGAGAGCTGTTGGAATAAGCAAAATGACACTTTCTCACTTACATATCAAACACATTGCTTTCACAGCCCTAGACCTAGGTAATAAATTCTTATCCAACCACTTTGTCAGCTTCTACACAGTAACAATCAAGAAGTGACATAAATATCTCCACATTGCCTCTATTTTATGGTTTTTTTTTTTTTCTTTGCAGTGGTAGGGATAGACTCAGAGCAAGTCCAAGATATGAGCTACACCTCCAGTCTCTCCCATTTTACCTATTTAATTGGGCCTTTCATAAATAACTTTAAAAATTACACAATTAGATTGAGCGAGTAGCAGGGCTGAAGGAGTGGCTCAAGCGGTAGAACATCTTCCTTGTTAAGTGCAAAGCCCTGAGTTCAAACTCCAGTACTCCAACAGTAATAAACAAAAGATTACGGTAGAAGACTAAAGCTGCTACCAACAGAGTGGAACAGGGTAGTACATGTCTGAATCCTAGTCACCCAGGAGAGGCTGAGTCTGGAGGGAGTTCAAAGCCACCCTAGGTAACATAGTGACAGCCTAAAAAATGAATCAAATTGACTAATTACAGAGGACTTGGCACATAATTTTTTTTTTTTTTTTGGCAGTACTAGGGTTTGAACTCAGGGCCTTAGGATTGCTAGGTAGGCCCTTCTACCACTTGAACCACTTCACTAGCCCTTTCTTGTGTTGGATATTTTTGAGATAGGATCTCCAGAATTATCTGCCTGGGCTGGCTTCAAACTGTGATGCTCCTGATCTATGCCTAAGAAGCTGGGCTAGTATAATGACTTTTTTCCTAGGTTTTTCTGTTTGTTCCTTTGTGGTGCTGGAGATCAAACACAGGGCCTTACACATGTGGCAAGTGCTCTACCACTGAAGTACATCCCAGGCCCCCACACTTTAATTTTGTACTAAATAAAATCAATTTATTTACTTATTTATTTATTGTGGTACTGATGTTTGAACTCGGGACCTCATGCTTGCTAGGCAGGTGTTTAAGCACTTTAGCAACTCTGCCAGCCCTTTTTTATTTACTCATTTATTGTGTTACGAGGGCTTGAACCCAGGCCCTGGTGTTAGTGCCCTAGCTCAGCAAGCACTCCACACCTTTTGAATCACACCCACAGCCTTTAGTTTTTATTTGGTTTTTGAGCTAGGGCTTGGCTAACTTGGCCTGGAACTTGAGCTTCACCTGTCTCTGCCTACTGAGTAGGGGAGACACCACAACCGTTTCTGAACTCAAGTGTCTCAGACTTGCTAGACAGGCATTCAACCACTTGAGCTCAACCACCTTTCTTGATGACAGGAGGGTCTCACCATGTAGCTCAAGCTGGCCTAGAGGCAGAAAGATCAAGACTGCCCTTGAACTCGGGATCCTCCTGCCTCATCCTTCCTGCTGAGCTTTGCAGGAGAGTACTACCACGCCCAGAGTTTTGTTTTCAAACCCAGGGCCTCCCCACCACTAGGCAATGACCCCAGCATTATGGAGTTTCAATAGCCACCTGAATAAGTATTGCACTCAGCTGCTGTTCAACTCCAGCCAAATATATACCTATGTCCTGTCATCTTGGAAGAAATGGCAGGCTTTAAAGCAACAAACACCCACCATCTCCTGCTATAAAAAGAGAAGTTGCTAAGCCCCAGTTTCTCCAAAAAAAAGAAAAAAAAGGTGGGTGGAGGGATGTTGTCCTTCAACTAAACATTAGAAGTAGGGCATGCCCCAAAAATCAGCCATTGATACCCACTGGCTCATTGAGGACATGCCCACTGGCTCATTTCATTCTTAAACAAATTCTCACAACGCACCACTATTGTCAACATTTGAAATTTTATAAAGGCAAAGACATTAACCCAAAATTTTAGAAAAGCAGGGTAACATTTAAAACATACTGCTCAAATACATGAGTCACCAGGCCTGGGGCGCTAGGGGAGGGGGAGAGAGGGCGGCAGGGGTGGCTCAGTGGTAAGGCTATTGCCTAGCATGCGTGAGGCCCTGGGTTTGATTCCCACAATGCATACATACAATATGTACAACAGCCATCAGTGTTTTCTTTTTCCACAGCTATCTCTTGTAGTTACAGTCATAGTGCAAATAGTTTAAGCTATTTAGCCAATGTTGATAAACTTAGATGCCCTGGTACAAGGCACAGGTTGTGAAGCCAAAATGTGTTTCAAATCCAACCTCTAGACACTTTTCATTTGACTGTCAGAAGATTTAAACATTCTGGAGTTGTCTTTGCCATAAAATTGGGTCACACTGGTTTGGGATTTAGGAGAAATGAACACACCAGCTGCTCACCAAATCAGAACTGCTAAATAAATAACACCTGCATAGCCAAAGGCTGAGAGAGAGAGCCAACCGCTAGTGTGATTGAGAAGACACACTTGCATAAAACTGAATACACTGTACACTAATTGTGTAATACAAATGCCAAAAATATGATGCTCACCCCTAAACTCAGAGGTTAGGTCTTCTGGCAAATGAGCACTCCAGGGGCCCAGCACTGTGTTAAGATGTGTTAAGTTACAGTAATTAAATGCTATAGTGATTGAGTGATTAATTACTGTAATTTACACGGTGTCTTAAAGCATTTAGGTTCTCAAAATACATATTACAGCCAAACTGCTCAGTTTTACGTCCTTTCTCTGTCCACAACTCCTGAGACCTGGGACCTAGTTGAAAGGGTATATGCCACCAAGTTGCAATTCAAAGAGGGGTGTCCAAAGGGTTGATAACGACACCCGTGTATGTCAAATGACTATAATTTCTCAAGAAGGTGATGAGCCCTCAGCCCCTTTTTCCTCCTCTCTTTCCCCTATGGAACTTGACCTTTCAAAGATCAAATTTTTCTCTTACCAGTCTCTGTGTGGAGCAGCTCCGCAGATGACATTGGCAAAGACGAACAATCTTCTTCAGGCCCATAAGTCAAGGGCACTGGCGAGCAGTCCCTACAGTTGGGTGCTTCAGAACAAGGCAAACTTTGGGGGCAACCTGGATCCACACTCATGTTACTCTGAATGAGAGAAATCAATGGATGTTATTAAAAAAAAAAAAAAAAGGGAGGAGGCCTAAGGCATTAAAATGTAAGTGTCTAAGTGGAAGACTGAAGAAAGAAAAGGAAGATCTCACAGGTAAAAAAATACCAAGAAGCCACAAGGCAAGACTACTGCCCTCAGTAAGATGAAATAATCAAGCCACAGGCAGAAGGTTTGGTGTCTCTAGATTTTTATAATGTAGGTTCTACCACCCTTAGGCCCACCCCTCCAGGCAGCCCACGCCTCCCCACACCCTTGTGAATTCTCAGTTAATCCCGTCTGCCAGGCTCACCAAAGCTATTGTCATGCAAAAGGAACTGTGGAGTAATTTGGACTGGGTGGGAAACCAGAAAACTGGGGCCACAGAACGAGGGGACCAAATAAACTCACTAACTAAATACTTACAGATTCGCTGTGTTTCTACCTTGAAGTCGATGCACCTCCAATTCCTAGAAATGTCAACTGCTCATTTTCCTCTTTCATTTACCCTGCAGTCATAAAACACCTAGGGCACGTTGCGAAGGATCAGGTGATGCTAAACACGGTCCTCCTGTCAACTCCCATCTTAGTTCCTTCTTGTGTTGCAGTTTTTACGAAGATAAGAAAGTCTTTCCTGGTTGTTTTTTCACAGAAGCCAGAAGAAAGGACCTGTGACCTGATGACTGACGGCACCTTTGTATCCTGTTAGTAATTATGCCTCTACTTTGTACTGTGGGAAAATTTTAAATTAGTTCTTATATACAAGTTACTGGGTAGAATTTTGGCTTGGCTACTTTATTAAGTCACAGTTTCTTTATAAATAGGGACCTAAATACACACTCTTCCCCTTGTTGTAGGAATTAAAATGTTAAATTTTCATATTTATCACGTCAGTGGTCACAAATGGTGGTTGTTAGATAAAATTCTGTTGGAATTCTGTATTCCAAAACACCCAAGTTTGAAATTACCTTTTTGTTTTTTTGGTGGTGATTTTCATTAGATTACAACGGAACATGATAGAATTAAAAACAGCAGCTTCTTACATCCATCACTAGATATAAAATGATTAGATTTAAGCCATGAAATCTCATGGAGGAAAATGAGATCTAAGGCAATCCAACTGGAAGGAGAGGGATAAAGAGAAATATCTTCCCCCCTGCCCCCAACCCCCTGTAGCTTTTTCTTTTCTGGCTCAGCAATATTGTCATGTCCTTCAACACCACCCCGTTCTGTGCTCCACCAATTTTTAGGGATAAGGGCCATATTTATCAAAGGAAGAAAATATTTAGAATGGGGTTCCAGGGCTGGTGGAGTGATTCAAGTGGTGGAGTGAACTGCAAGAGAGAAGGCCCTGAGTTCAACCCCAGTACTAACCCCCCCCAAAAAATGGGTTCCAGCAATTTCTATTTCAAGAGATATTAATATTTTAAACAATATGTAGATGAAATATAAGCCCTCCAATAAGATAATATGTCAGAAGAATATTTGTTTTATCTTATATTGAAAAAGGTTATTATTGCACTATGATAATAAGAATTTGGCCTGTTGTATTTTTCTAGTTAAGCACTAAATAAACAGAACATTAAGGTTTAGATAGCAGTTAGTAAAATGTAAAAGAATGTATTTGAAAGACTTCTAATTTTTCAAGAAGTCTTTTATAAGAATTAAATAAATCCCCAATCCCACCCAAAAAAAGAGAATTAAAAATAAAACCTAAAAGGAAAAAAAAAGAAACCAAACATATATTTAATATATTAATCATAATTTTCCATTTTCCTCCCCATTCTCAAACCCAACGTTCAAGAAACCTAAAATTTCTACCTCTTTTCCAATCTCCCACCCCTGAAAGCAAACTCGTAGCAAATCCCTACTACATATTTTTTAAGACTGGACTCTTTTCTGGTTTTTTTTTTTTGGACTCTTTTCTGTTTGCTGTTGTGAGATAGGGGCTTGCTATACAGCCCACTGAGAACAGACTTGACTAATTGCCCTTATACTCGGCTACTTGTAGTCCAGAGCTGCTGACATTGTCCCACACAAGCTGATTTTTGTTTACAATGCAAATAAAGATGCCAACTAGTAAGAGTTGGTGTGTGGCTAGGTTCAAACCAAGGAGAAGTAATTCTGGGTAAAAAGGAAGAATAGAGGCATCAGGGAAGTGAGCAGAGTTGGGTATATTGTGCTTCAAAGCAGATAGTTACTGTGTCATTAGAGCTAGAATATAATTTCTTTAAAACAAGAAAAAATTGCTGGGGGCATTGGGGGCATGGCTCAAATTATATAGAGCCTGCTAGCAAGCGCCTGAGGCCTTGCGTTCAACCCCCAGTACACCAAAAAAATAAAAATAAATTAAAAGGAAAAATTTGACTTCCTGGCTCTCCACAGCACAGTTTGGTAAACAGGGACTGTTGAGACCACTTCATCTTTGAGGTTACCCGCAGCAGGTACAGAAGCTTTGTTCTTTGCTGAAGGGGTCTTTGCATAAGAGCCTGTAATGAATTCACCCCCTGCCCCCATCCCTGTCTAGGGTGAGAGTTTCTGGGGTGAAAGACCAAAGACAAGGGGGCTGGTAACTCCAAGGCAGGCTTGCTACATTCTTCCCCAAGGAAAGCCATTTGAATAAGGTGAAGACTGTGTTGGAATGGGCTGAGGGAGTGGAGGAGGGGTATGTTAAAATGAGCTCACAATTTGGTTGCACAGATCAAAACAGACCCCAAAGACAAGTGTAGTGTGTGATAAGTTCTGAAAAAAGAATGAGGTTGCATTGCTTGGTCAGAGTACAAAGTGGAGAGGTGGGGCAAGGAGGGGGAGTCAGAAGACAGTGGAAGACTTTAGGTGAGCCAGGAAGGAAAAATATAGGGAGACTGTGGAAGGGAATTTCAGGAATTTAACAATTTGAGAGCAAACCCTGGGTTCCAACTCTGTTGTTAAAAAGCTCAAAGACAAGAATGCAGTGGGAAAGGAGTCCCTCTAGGAAGACCACACAGCAGCTGAAGTAGAGCAAGCTGTCACCTACATCACATCCTGGTCTGTCCACTTTTGTAGCCACCTTAACTAGCATCTAGCTTAGTGCCTGAAATGTGTATCTGTTTGATCACTGTGGCTTTAATAAATAAATATAGTTTGGGGATGTTAAGTAGGACTTTGGAAATGAGGACCCAGAAACCTGAAAAGTAAAGGAGTAACCATAGTTAGTAAAAAGACTGAGCTTCAAGTTAAATCTCTTATTAGTTCATTCTCTCCTAGCATTTCTCCTACTATCTTAGTGGTTTTCTCAGTCTCCTTTCTGTTTCTTCCTCATCCCCTATATTATATAAAACATGGAGGGTACCTAAGCTTAATTTTTTTTTGTGTGTGTGTGGTACTAAGGTTTAAACTCAGGGTCTACACCTTGAGCCACTCCCCCAGCTCCTTTTTGTGTTGCGTTTTTTCAAGATAGGGTCTCTCAAACTATTTGCCTGGGCTGGTTTCAAACTGCAATCCTCCTGATCTCTGCCTCCTGAGTAGCTAGGATTATAGGTATGAGCCCCTGGCATCCAGTCCCAAACCTTTTTATCTACATTCTCTACTTACCCTGTCACAGGACTTTTCTCTCTTTTTTTGGTGGTGGTACTCACCATTTGAGCCATGCCCACAGTGCTCATGTATCTATTTCTCTTGTTACTGTGTGTGTTATAGGAGTGTTATGGCTTTGAGATTACTGCGTCTCTTGGCAAAAGGGTCAGTCCCTTTGTGACATGTGACACTCATTTTTCTCCCATATCATTTGGATATTCCAAGTTTCCCAACTGTTCTCCCTGTTTGCCCCCCAGCTTCCCAATCATCTCTCCTTTTGTCTTATTTTCTTAAAGACAGGGCCTTACTATGTTGCCCAGACTGGTCTAGAACCCCAGTTGTGGGCTCAAAGCAATCTTCCTGCCTCAGCCTCCTGAGTAGCTAGGACTACAGCCACTTGTCACCAAACCCAGCCTTGTTTTGTTTATTTTTGGTTTTTTAAAAGACAGTCACATTTTCTCTACAGTTCTCCTTTGGTTTTCTCATTCAGAGTAAAAGTCAAACAGTTGAATTACAAAAGCCACCTGGTCTTAGCTCCTTGTGTTCTCTCCACCCCCATGAACCTGGCCTCCCAGCTCATTCTGAACAAGCCAGGAGAGCTTGTCCCAGGACCAGGGCAGCAGCCTTGACTTCTGTCTCTCTGTAGTTGGTTCTTCCCCTAGAAATCTGACCAGTTTGATCTCTCACCTCCTTTACATCTTTTTGCCTTCTCTATGATGCCTCCCAGTCTGTCCTCCACCTGATTTTTATTTTTTTCTTTTGCAGGGCTTAGGAGGAACCTAGAGCCTCGTGCATGCTAGGCAAGCACTCACTCTACCACTGAGCTACATCTCCAGCTCTGCTTCTTATCTGTTTAGTGTTGCATCCTTAACTTAGAAGAGTACAGTACGTACACCATCATCATGGCATCACCAAGAGCTTCATAGAGACACAATTACTAGGCTTCACCACAAAATGTGTCAGTGTCCTCTAGCCTAGCCTGAGAAGGCAGCTCCCCTCAATCCCCAGCACTACAACAACCCCGCCCCCGCCATGGGTGCTATTGTATGAGAACGACAATTCCAGAGCAGAACCAGGCAGAAAGGAGACCCTCATTATTTGTTGAAAAGGAATGGGCTTGAGGGAGAAACAAGGTTTGTATGCAGACACAACCCTGCCTGTGTTGACACACTGGCATCATAATCGGCACATATCTATGGGATATTTAAATATTAAATGGCAATTCAGTGCAATTAAAAACTGCCAGTCTGTTGCTGGGGGAGGGAGCCTCCTGTGTGGCAGTGTTTCACTGAGGCTGTCTCTCCAGTCTGGATCCCTTGACTTGGCCTTCACTTTTTTCTCTTTCCAAACTACATAGATTAAACACAGGAGATTATTTCTAAAATTGGGGAAGATATGCCCATGCTTTCTCTTGTTTTATATAGAGAGAGTCATATAT